GTTCCCAAGGGTCTACATGAATACAGTAACTATTCCACAACATTGGACAGTAATAACTGGTAAATATTTTTGTTTTGGATGGTCTACATGAATACAGTAACTATTCCACAATATTGGACAGTAATAACTGGTAAATATTTTTGTTCCCAATGGTCTACATGAACACACTAACTATTCCACAATATTGGACAGTAATAACTGGTAAATATTTTTGTTCCCAATGGTCTACATGAACACAGTAACTATTCCACAATATTGGACAGTAATAACTGGTAAATATTTTTGTTCCCAATGGTCTACATGAACACGTAACTATTCCACAATATTGGACAGTAATAAAACACTGTGAACTACAACTGTATTATAAACATTCCTTAAACAGATTATCTAATTAGTTTAACACTAGGAACTACAACTGCCGCAGTTGGAAATTTTTTGTTTTAAAATCATTAATTTTTTTTTTCATTTCAAGCCAGAATTTACCATTTCTTTGTTTTCATAATGATTATGATTTTTAAAATGCCTAATCATATTTTTAAACCATTGATAAATTAAGGGTTTGACAAAAATCTGATTTTTTTTACTTTTTAAACATTTTTTTAAATTTTCAATACTTTTATTTTACTTAATCTTTATGTGATGACTAATGAACTTTTAAATCTCCTACTATTTTGTGATGCATCTTTTAAGGTACAAGTTGATTTTAAGAATTCTTTATTTCATATTCTTACCAGTATGTTATGTTTTACTTCATTTCAATTTTGTTATTATTCATAATTGTACTATTTGCATCAAAAATAAACTGTTCAAACTTAAAACTAAAGAGAATTTAATTTTGATTGGTTTGTCTTGTCATAAAGCTCCACCAAAGCAGTTTTATAACTTGCTACTTTAGTGATAGCTTCTTCTGTATAACTTTTTTCATTCATATTTTGCTATGAAAAACCTGAATCGATATATCAACATGGTGACAAACAACCAGTGAACATAATAAAATAATTGAAATTTAATTCAATATATGCAGCAAAGATAAAAAACAGAGAATACACAAATCTTTGACTGGTCATATGTCCAACCCTACCATCAGTTATAAAAACTTCACAGAAGGTTTGAGAATATCAATATGCATCTTACCAGTCTGATGACTCAACTGTCCAGTCTCAGGAGTTCCAAACTTTGCTTGTGCAGCCTGGGGATAGTAGGTATGTGACTTTTCATAAGTCTAAAGTAAAAAAAAAAAGAAATGTAAAACAAAAACTTCTTTCCCTATATCAGTAAGGTTATTGTTTTATAAACACTATTTTACAGGGCAATTTAATTTCTTAAAACAAGATAATGATATTTTACTTTATCTAAAAAACAAATTCTATATAATTAACATTTTTCTATAATTAAAAAATTAGAACACTTAACCTTATATGTACCAGACTTTAGTCTGAACCTGAGTGATCGTAACACTATGGATAAGTGAAGGTGGTTAAATTGAAAAAAAGGAACTCCTAGAAAGAACCTGTCTGTTTAATTTCCACATTTTGTAAGATTTATCAATCTTTGATGTTACAATTTTCTTTGTCCATATTACTATTCTCAATACAAAACAATCTGGTGGCCAGTATGTTCAGAAATGAAAGTATATCAATTAATCCTATCACTATGAGTCTTCCTGTTGTCATGGGTCATCACATTTGAGGACTTGTATTCAAAATTTTATTGAATTACTATAATTTTGGTGTCAAGTTTTAATTTATTACTCCACTTTTAGTATTATACATTAGTTAATTTAAATGTAAATATTAGAACAAATTTCTTAAATATCAAAATTTGTGTGTCATGTGGTATGTTGAATGCAGATATGGTTCAAATTAGATGTTTGTGATGTCAAAATACAAAGTCTATAGCTTCTTATGAATTAGAAATTCAAATTACCAATATTGACATGCTAGGATATAAAATAAGAGCCTCCTATCTTTTCTATTTGTAGAGATGTCACAATATTTACTGAATCAAACACGGTGGCCCCACCCACCTCTTCCATTTTATGAAAATACTTCCTTAAGTACACCCACTTCCATCCTTCGTGACTTTATAACCAATCAAAAGCTCAGAATTTCTTCCACGTGACTTTCTCAGGCTCTTGAAGGTGGGAATTTCCTAAAATTATTATTGTTTCAATTCTTGGAAGGAAGGGGTAAATGAAAATGTTATTTGAAAAACTACTGTTTTAAACCCAAATACAGTTTAGTTAGTAAGCCTGATAAATGACAGTGGAATTCTGCAACACTGATAGAGTAACTTATAATTTTTTATTATTTCAAAATGCACATAAAAACCTAAAAAAGTTATTTTGTTTTACATCCACCAGGTGTGAAATTTAGTAAGGCTTAATATGCAAGGTACAGCAAGTGAGTAAAAACTTCTTTACAATCACAAGTAGTAGATATTTATATATTGTAATGTTAGTCAGATATCGCTGAAAGATCAATAAAATATTAATAATAAATATAAGTAGATGTATAATGTTATGAGATATAAGCCATTTAGACTAAACATTTGTGGTCATTCTAAAATGAAAAAAGCATAACTTATATCTATGTCATAATTTTTTATGGTGGTTATGAGGACGGTCAAACTGACCAAACCCGCACAGAGATAAGATAGAGAAAATAACATATAAAAAGTTGTCCCTAAAATGAAAACATTTGATAATTATCTGGAGGTTATTAGGTTATAAAGATTTTGCATATGAAATTTGACAATTTTCTGATGTATAAATTATTCTAATCTTCAAATGAAAATTACTTTGCATGTTGGATAGTCAACATTTAAAAAGAAAACATGCAAGAGCAAATGATTACTTAAAAAAATCTTAAAACTTATTCTGATATTTTGTGTTAGAAAGCCTTGTAATGTTTACCAATAATTTGTAAAATTTTGTGAAGGTAAGTGTGCTGTATTAAATGTTATAGTAAGAAAATGGTTACAAATTCAGTCCCTAAAACCGAGCCCGTAATGAGAGTTATAAATGTGTTAGAAAATTTAACATTCTGCAAAATGGACATTTGACAATATTAAAAGAAAATTAAAAAACACAACCCTTTCTGTCCTATTTTATACCCTTAATTACAAAAAGAGCAAACAAGGTAAATACAACAAATTTATTCTGATTATGACCAAAGACTCACTTGTGGGCGAGAATCATAGTTGTAAACAATTGTTCTACGTCCTGCTGTTTGATAGCTTTCATATTTGGGAAGACCACTTCTGTCAGCTGATGCATAAGGATGTGCTGACCCTTGTCGAGGCTGAATACTGTATCCTACAGTAGATGATAGAGCTTCATTGGGTTGGTATTTACCCTGACTGGTTGTAAAAGAAAGTAATCTTATTAAATCATGAACTGATCTGTTTGAATCTAACTACTTATTGCAAATATTATCAGATATATATTACCAATTCCTACATTTAAGTCAAAAGAATATTTAGCTTACCAGTGTCTCACTTTTCTTTCTACACTGTACTATTTAATTTTCAAATGTCTTTTTTTTTAAAGTTAAGTGTTGTTGGTTATGATGAGGATGCTGCTGCTTTACAAAAAGATTGAGATTATTTGACAACTTGGATGAATAAATGGCTTTTAATTACAGTTAATGCATGGGAGTTATCATCATTTAAATAATAAGCATAATTTCAATTAAAATAACATTAACAGTGTTAAGATTTTTAAACAAATCTTGGTGTTCTGGTTCATCAGTCTTTTATGCCATCCAAGTAGTATGCTGTTGTTAGTGATAGAGCAAACAGGATTTTCAGTTGTATTTATAAAAATATCAATTATAAGTTTCATGTTATGATTTCATTGAATAAGTCATTGGTTAGGCCTCATTTGGATTGTCAAGTTTACAGCTGAAGGATTAATTTTAACTTGATTACCCATAAGCATCAATTACTGTCACATAAAATAATCAATTAATCAAAATTATGACTAAATCAATTAATGTAATGAAGCAACTGATATATTACCATTATGATTTATCATTATTTTCAACTAATTCAAGGTTCAACTTAATTTATTAGTGTCATGACTCACCAAAAATAATCAACTAATCAAAATTTACATTTCTAATTATTACCATTTTCAATCATTCCAACAATACAAGTTTCATGTAAGAATAATCAACTATTTGAATGTAATTGATTAACAAGACCACCAATTAATCAATTAGCAAATTCCACTAATCTCCCAGTTCTACTTATAAATAATTTTAGGTTTAAACTAACTTTATTTTCCCTAAGCTCTTAACATTAGTACAGTAAGTTAGAAAATACTAGTAGCAGTTCTTACATCAACTACAACATCATATTACATCACATGAAACATGAAAACAGGACTTACTGAAATAGTTTCAAAATTTATCAACCATGATAAATTAAAAAACTACATGTTTTCAAAAACTTTTATCATCTGCTTATATTTTTTCTATGTACTTTCTTTGTAAACTTTTAGAAATGAATTTGTTGTTCATTGTTTTCTTCGTTGTTATACACGTGTTTGCTGAAGAAAGAATATGCCTATTTTGTAACATACAAATGCAAATAAATTTGGTATTCATCAATAAATAAACATGACAGGGCACAGAATTAATCCAAAAGTATCCGGTGATAGTTATAGTAAATTACCAAAATCATGGAGCAAAATTTTAAATCAATAAGATGAAAAAATAATGGCATATTGATCAGTGAACAAGCATGGCTCAGTCTTGTTAGCACATGGGAAAGCTCTATGTAGTCTCTCACAGCACTAGGTGCCGCCACAACGTTGACATCATTCATCCATAAATAAATATGAAAACATGAAGAAAAAACACTCCTTCATACAATCAAGTTCACTTGTTATAATTATTTAAATTAACTTCTGTTTTTGACAGAATACTACTTCCTGAATAACATTCATACAAAGTTTGACTAGGTTGCAGGGAATCGCATATTTACAGGTAGTTGTAGATATTGTTAATAGATGTTCTCATAATATAGTTTTGACATGTTTCACACCTGGACAAATTAGAACCAGTAAATTAATAAATTACTACAGCGAAACCCACCAAGCAAGCCTGTTTATCAAGTTACTTAATTACCAGCTCTGATGAGAAGATATCCAAACAACTAGACACTACACACGCTAAGCCAAAGAGAGAGAGTTAAAAAATTATTAATGTAACAAATGGCAAAAGAGGTCATTTGAGGTAGACCCAATGTTAAAAAAACAGATATATTAAATTGATCTGTTGATAATTTTAAATGATGTTCAACCATTTTTGTTAGAATAAATATTCAAACATTAGTCTAAAAATTAAACCACTGCCACTTTAGGAGTCAATAGAATATTTTTTAATATCATTTTGACAGACATATTATTAACATCACCGAGCAAGGGTTAGGCCTATTCATACACTTTCATAAGAGCTTTCTATTGAGCCTAACGAAAATAATAAAACATTATACTGAAAAAAACTTTAAAAGTACACTAAAATTAATATATTTTTGTGCCAAATTTAACAAGTCAAGATAAACAAGAGTAAACAAAGTGGTATAAATTGTAACAGATTTATTTGGTATCAGAAAAACTTGTCACTTTAGTAACTATACAATTTTAACTTTGTTTTATGGTTGAAATAAAACTGCATTAAAAACTATGAATAATAAGTCTATCTTTAGGTGACATGGTAAAAGTTTCCATGGCTATCTCAAGATGACAACGGAAACATTTTCTGTATCATGTGCAGAAATTCCACGGATATCGATCATAGTTCTCCATTTGTAAAAGATGTTAAAAGTTATAAAACAACAGCATTTAGAGACTATGTTAACTCTAAAAGTCACATCAAGTGTGAGGCACCTAAAAATATTTACTCAAAAACTAATTAGGTAATCTGTTTAAGGAATGTTTATAATACAATTGTAGTTCACAGTGTTAAAACTAATTAGGTAATCTGTTTAAGGAATGTTTATAATACAATTGTAGTTCACAGTGTTAAAACTAATTAGGTAATCTGTTTAAGGAATGTTTATAATTCAGTTGTAGTCCACAGTGTTAAAACTAATTAGGTAATCTGTTTAAGGAATGTTTATAATCCATTTGTAGTTCACAGTGTTAAAACTAATTAGATAATCTGTTTAAAGAATGTTTATAATACAGTTGTAGTTCACAGTGTTAAAACTGATTAGGTAATCTGTTTAAGGAATGTTTATAATTCAGTTGAATATTCACATAAATGTGAAGAAAAGGTAACACTGGTGCATAACATTAGATACACATCAGATAGTTGAACTCGTAATTATTTTGTGCTTATTATAGTTTCCATGCTACAACTTTTAATTCAGTAAGTGTATCTTCACAAAATTTGGCAGACTTTTACTAAACATTACAAGTATTTTGTACACAAAAAATCAGATTTTTTAATGAAATATTTTTACTAGAGATTTGTCTGTGAATATACAGTCTTTTTTTACTATTTTGAGTGTGAAATGATTTCCATGTTAAGATCAAAAATACCTTTCTTCCCCTCAAAAATCTCAAATTTCATTTGCATGACCTCTTAATCCTCCTAAATAAATTTCAAATGTTTTTTCAGTAAAACTTTATACTTTGTTATTTTTTCTATCCTAATTCTATACAAAGTCGGCCAATTTGACTGACTTCGTAACCACCACCACCACAAAAAAAAACTAATTTGTACCATTATTAGTTGTAAATGTGTGGCTCACCTTACACTAACGAATTACATTACACACGAGCTACTCGCAAGCATACCCTCTGAATATTTTTGTATTATATTACTATTATTATTAATTTTACCTAATCTAACCTTAAATATCCCAAATAATGGTTGGAGACGGCTTGAATGGGTAATGAAGTAACACTTTAATATAAGTTTAACATAACAGCAAATGTACAACGTTTCGACAAGGTTTTGTCAACGTCATGCCTTATAAAATTAAGAAATTAAAACTTATATACTATTAAAATATGGATTATTAGCTATGGTTTTATGCTACATTTATTGGTATACCATGAAAAGAAAGTAGTTTAATTAAATTTTGAATGTAACTAAATAAAAACCTCATGACATATGCACAAAAAGATGCTCGTGGAGAAAGGATTAATCAAAAATAAGAAGAAATCATAATAGAAATAATTTGATTACTTGGATAATTGGAATAATCAAAACAATAATAGTGGGAAACATAAATTTCAATTAATTGATTATTGTATATGACACTAGTCATTGATTCTGTCTATTAAACAAGTTACACAAATTCCTTTATTTTAGTAGTTAAACCAAACAATTAATGTTTAGTCTCCATTGTACCATCAACTATCCCAGTTGTTCATCCACTTCATGGTCAGCTTCTTATCTATACCTGTATCATCTGCCCTACTTTCTCATTCTAACTTCCATTTTTAATGTGTGTTTATATAAAGCCTGTATAAAAATCTTGTTTTTCTTTAATCTGAATCACTTTTTCATGTTGTTACTGAGAAACCTGCAGATATGCAACAAGTAACATTACTGTACCGATCTATAACCTGTTTGGGAGGGGAAGTGTAAAGTAACACGCGTGTTTGTTCTGTTAAACAGTAGTTGTTTAATTTCAAAAGTTAGTTCTCTATATATGACAAAAGCAAGTGAGCAAAATAACACTATCAGGAGTGTGACAGAAATTCTTAAAGTTAACCCTTCTCGACACAATTTACACTAAAAAAAAAGTTTATTCTTGAGTGCTGCAGAACTTTCATTTGTTCTTGTAGTGGCTTTCTAATCAGCTCTTTATTCAGACCTGTTTCGTCTTTCCTTTACAATCTTATTATAATTTTCACTTTTAAGTTGTGTGTTAGGCATACAATTTCCAGAAGAAATAATGTTTTTGTTTAACTCATAAACAACCATGTACATTACTAATGATACATAAAATCTTTGACTTGTACATTTTAACAAGTTACAGTGCAGCCTGCACTTACACATTCACTAACATTTAAAGCTTGACAATACGTGAAATTTGCTAATCAATTAAATTCAAGTAATTAATTATTTTCACACGAGGCTTTGACAGTAATAATCATAAACACTCATTTCTTACGAGTCACGACCCTAATCAATTAATCTGAAAAATCTTGAATAATTACTACCTGGCTCTGCAGCAAATGAGCTACTGTAACTGCCCCCTGGTGAGCCACCTTCAGTTTCAACAGCGTTTGAAAAGTCATAGAAGGACGAACCAAAGGAAAATGCTTGGGCTTTCTGACCTTGTCGCTGAGAGACATAAGCTGTGTTGGTTGAATATGATGGTTTGTTAGCTACAGA